GCCTCCATTTCCTCCATCTCCACCCACTCCGCCGCCTCCTCCTTGGTTACCATTGCCTCCACCGCCTCCATTGTCTCCATCTCCGCCTTCTCCACTGTCTCCTCCTTTGCCTCCTCCTGACGGAGGAGGTGACCCTCCTCCTTCGCCTCCTTCACCACTGCCTCCTCCATCACCACCGTCTCCTATGCCTCCATCTCCTTTCCCTTTATGTCCGTCCAGACAAGGAACACTATTTCTTTTATACCGCCCACCATCGTCTCCTTGTGTTTCTGAAAGGTAAAAAATATATACAAAACCATAATGCTGGAGGTTATTGTTCCTTGTTAGTGAAGTTTAAGAACCTACGAAATGTGGTGTTTCCTCCATAGTAAAAATGATAATTATTTTATTTTTTATTTTATTTATTTGGTTCACCAACAGTTAATTACACCAATACAATTGTATAAATCTTAAGAAGAATAGGTACATGTTCAATGTATTAGCTTATTACAGGCAAACACAGCATGCATTTAACGTGAAGACTAATATTATACATTTACAACTACACACAGGATTGTTAGTGGTGTACTATTACAAATTAAATTTTTTTTAAGTTTATTGGATCGTTTGCGTCAGCAGATTCATATTATTGAAGTAGATCATATCACCTGATTTAGGTCCTTTCTTCGAAGATCTGGATACCGCACTCGCTAAAAACATTTAAGTTCGAATGATGATTCTTTTATATCTGATTAGTCATAAATAACACGAACTAAATAAAGTAGTAATACAATTTTAATTAAAAGAAATATTCGTAAGTCAGTGATAGAGAATATTTCCTTTAAGTTTAATGGAATACATATAATTCAAAGAACGAAAGTTCGTAATAATGAAAATCTATATTTCACATACTTAGATAATTTTCTTAGTAAAGTTGACTTACAATATGCTGTTGAAGTACTATTGGAGCGGCCGCGTCCAGAGCCAGTTTGTGATGTTGCACCAGCTGAAATAAAAACAAACACAATCAAAATAACTGTTTCTGTCGGCCGTTCGGTGTAGTGGTTCGGAACGGACTGCTATGCCGAGAGGTACCGGGTTCGATTCCCGGCCGGGCTTAAAAAAAGTATATTGTTAGTTGATCTATTAAGCTAGCACCCATAATACAAGCATATTTAATCACTTTGAGTCTAGATGACGCTGTGTGAAATTGTCCAAAGATAATTATGTCCTACTTCCTATCCTATTAAAATTATAAATGTATCGATGCAGCGATGTCTTGATGTCTGGATGTTTGTAACGGTTACAATTGATGACGATCTATGATCAACTAAATTTCACGCGGGTGAAGCTGCGGGCAAAAGCTAGTTTCATAATACATTTATTATATTAGAGTTAAACAACCAAAACTCAAGTGGCAACAGAAGTGGCAATGGGCAGGGCACATAGTACGCAGAACTGACGGCCGATGGGGCAGAAAGGTTCTGGAATGGAGGCCGCGTACCGGAAAACACAGCGTGGGACGTCCACCTACAAGCTGGACCGACGACATCGTAAAGGTAGCAGGGAAGCGCTGGACGCAGGTCGCTACCAATCGATCAACATGGAAAGCATTGGGGGAGGCCTATGTTCAGCAGTGGATGTCCTATGGCTGAAATGATGATGATGATGAACCAAAACTCATTTCCTTGGAGAATCACACTAATTGTCCAGAAAACTCCATGTCCGGAACATAAGGTATTATTAAGTATCTAGATTAGGTATATTTTATGAACAATCCTATCGGGTTTTTAGTATAAAATATATTAAATTGTTTTACCAGCTACAGTGCTTTCTGATTTGCCGCCTGTGCCTGAAGTGCTTGCTGAAAGGTATTAAAATGATGTGCATAATTAATTATGTTGTTGTATAAACAGTAAAATACATACAATATAATTAAAATCTACCTAGGTACATACAAATAATATCATAAACATTTTAATACAAAAATTAAAAAACAAAAATAACAAATATAATATGAATATAACATTAAATCCATCGCAGCTATTTTAAAACTAAAGGAAAATTACCACCGGCAGCGGCTACGGCTGCACTCTCTGCCCCATTTTCTGAGCCTGATGCAGTGCTAGCTGTAAGATTAAATGGCATAGATATAATTTTATTTAACAAAAAATTAAATCCATCAGAATTATAAAAACTAAAAGAAATTTACCACCGGCAGCGGCTGCGGTAGTACTGTCTGATCCATCGTCTGTAGCAGTGCTAGCTGTAAGATTGAATGGCATAAATCACAACCAATTAATGTTAAAAGCCGAATTATAACTGTTGGCAACTGGCCTGCAGAGCAGCCGCCATAACATGGTTGTAAGTTTATTGACACTGTTTTCTAGTTAGTTATCACTTCTCGGCCTTCGTATTAAGCGGTTCACATCTCCATACCGTTCACTTTCTAATAATATATGAAATTCATTAGAGTTATCTTCTATATCTATAAAAGCGAAAGGTCACTGATTGACTGACTCAATTATCATGAAATCTCAGAAACTACAAATGCTAAGAGTTTCAAATTTTGCATGGGGGTTCCTTTTAGAAAGAAGGTGCTCACTAAGAACGGATTTTACGAAACTCCACCCCCAATTGGGTAAAACGGGATCCACGCGTACGAAGACGCGGTCGGCCGCTAGTTAAAAATAAAAGGAAATTACCACCGGCAGCAGCTAAAGCAGCACTGTCTGATCCATCTTCTGAGCCTGAAGCAGTGCTGGCTGTAAGATTAAATGGCATAAAAAATCACAACAAAGTAAAGTAACATGTAATAAGTAAAACAATATTAATCCTTTAACAAAAATGAAACAACAAAAAGAACATCACCATCACCGTTTCAGCCACAAGACGTCTGCATTCAGCATCTTTCTGCTACCTTTATGCTGTCATCTACTCCAGATTACGTTTTTGCCCTATCAATCGGCCTTATAAAGAAGCTCAAAGTTGCATAGCGTGATATGAAGGTATGCTTGGTGTTTCTTTACGAGGTGATGAGATCAGAAATGAGGATATCGGTAAATTATCTAAAGTCGCTGACTTGGCCCGACAGATTGGCAAGCTGAATGGCAATGGGCAGGGCACATAGCACGAAAAAATAACATAAACTCAATGTAACATTAAATCCATTGTAGTTATTTTAACACGTTGGACGCCACGCGGCTCACCGGTGAGCCTCGAACAATACAATTTCCATTGTGTCTAGCGTCTCGGCGTTCAATGACTTAAAATTAAAAGAAAATTACCAGCAGCAATGGCAGCAGCAGCACTCTCTGTTCCATCTTCTGAGCCTGAAGCAGTGCTGGCTGTAAGATTACATGACATAAATATTATAATGTAACATAACAATATAAAGCCATCAGAGTTATTAAAACTAAAAGAAAATTACCAAGGGCAGCGGCTGCGGCAGCACTGTCTGATTCATTCCCTGAGCCTTCGCCTCCTTCGCCTCCATCGCCTCCATCGCCTCCTTCATCTTCTCCTCCTTCTCCTCCATCGCCTCCATCGCCTCCTTCGCCTCCATCGCCTCCATCGCCTCCTTCATCTTCTCCTCCTTCTCCTCCATCGCCTCCATCGCCTCCATCGCCTCCATCACCTCCATCGCCTCCGTCTCCTCCTTCTCCGCCTTCGCCTTCGTCATTGTTGGATTTTGCAGAAGCCTCGGCTGTAACAATTTTAAGTATGTGTAGTACAAATGCATTTCTTTGCGTCATTTCATCAAAAGTTACATTGATATTATAATGATGCCAAGAAATGCATCATTGGGGAACTAAAAGAAAGTTATTCACCTTTAGCAGTAGCATTTGCAGATCCACCGTCTGAGCTTGAAGAAGCTTCACCTGTACAAAACATTGTTATTGCATCGAGATTGCAAAAAAATTAAAAAACAAATATTACTTATAGACCAAGAGCTAGTGAACGCCAGACAGATGCCATTTTATAAATGCTGAAAGTTTGTCAGCGTATGCTCCCAATATAGGATTGGGTCATCGTGGCTTTGGCATCTACCCTCAAAAGATTGTCTGGCGACGATTTGGGACTGTAAAAACTGTCTGGCTGATGAAGAAACAACTTCTAATCATTGCCCAAATACAGCTTTTTTGGTACAACGTTGTTTTATGAGATTGTAATAATATATAAAATCCATTATTGGCTGTAAGAACAAAAATACCTGTTTGTATTATTATTATAAAGAGCTGTGGTTTTCTGAACAAAGAAAAATAAAATTAAATAAAACGTTAGTAGAATTAAAGTCCAATGAATATACGGCAAAGGCCACCGTAAAAGTTAGGCTTACGTTATACCATAAAAGCTGATTTTTATACACGGTGTTACTTTACATTCTTGCCATATTTACAGAGGCTATATTACTGACACTGAACACAAATCAGTAAAAAAAGAATGCGCTAAAATTTTGTGTTTTACTCTTGGGTATTTTATTTTGTCGACAATCTGATAAACTCACCACTAATTACCGTAACACTTGTTGGCGATGGTGATGAACACTCTTTTTACTTTTTATTGTATTTCCAAATTCTATTGCAATCTACTGAGTAACTTAAAATTCTTTTTGACACTTTTGTAAACAGCTGACGTCCACTAGGTTTATTCCAATTGGGCCTATTTAAAGTCCGAGACAACATTTGTTTATTCCAATTTGTATGTTCTGCAAAACTAAGTTTGCTAAAAACTTAGCGTGCTTTTTAGCTATACTGTTGAAACTAGGTAAGTAGATGTATTTTGTGAACCGCATTAAGACATTATTAGAAATAATAAAAAGCTGTTTCCTCATCAGCCATACAGTTTTGACAGTTCCAACTCCTTGCCAGACCAGACATTTTTAGGATAGCTGACAAAGCCAAGAAAACTTGTCTTCATGATGCACCAAAATTATACATAATAATATATTGGGAGCATACGATGACAAACTTGCGGCTATTATAAAAATGATTTAGGTCTGGCGTTCACCAGCTCTTAGTCTATTCCTTTTCGACATAGGTTTGATACGGGAATCGAAAGATAATAACCTTCAGCAGTAGCATTTGCAGATCCACCGTCGGACGTTGCAGAAGCATCACCTGTAAAAAAAAATAAACGGTTTTTATTACATTATGATTGTAAAATTACTAACAACAAATACAGGATTTCCCAAAAACAATGGATAACCTTGTAAGTATCGATAAGCATAAATAATACATAATATAAAAAAAATACTAGGTAGTAAAAATGTCACAGGTTTGATATGTTTAAGTTCCTTTGTATTTTTTATCTTCTTTTTTATTTTTCCAATATTTTGGAACTAGTTACGGAGGCACTTATTGGCCCGCTGAAAATTGGAACTCTGAGATATTTTCAGAAATTTCGTGAGTGAAATCGTGCATGTTTATGAGAAATAGTGCTTTAGGAACGTGGTGATTGGTTCAGTGATTGATTTATTGTACAAACCAGTGAACTAATCCTGACTGATACACAAATTATATTATACAGCGCCAGTGTCATTCAAAATCGGTTTCGTTTGACAGCTTATGGTTGTTGGTCTATTCCGAAAGAATATTAACTATGTTCGACATCGCGGTGCATCAGTTCGATTGGGGAATCAAAGGAGAAATTACCTTCTGCAGCAGCATTTGCAGATCCACCATCGGAGCTTGAGGAAGCGTCGGCTGTAATAAAGTCAGATGTGTTGTAATGTATTTCTGTTGCACGTGATAATCTAAGGCTGAGTTGCACCACCTAATTATTACCGTAACTTTAACGAAAACCGGTGCTTTTTGTATGGAGTAGGCAGGTTTTTGCCGTTTGTCAAAGTTAAAGTAAGATGGTGAAATAAAGTAACATTGATATTATTATTATTATAATGATGCCAAGAAATGCATCATTGGGAGAAAATTATTTACCTTCAACAGTAGCATTTGCAGATCCACCGTCTGAGCTTGAAGAAGCTTCACCTGTACAAAAACATTGCTTTTGCATCGAGATTGCAAAAAAATATAAAATCAAATATTTCTTCTAGACTAAGAGCTAGTGAACGCCAGACAGATGCCTTTTATTCTTCATTCAGAAAACCACAGCTCTTTATAATAATAATACAAACAGTTTTTTTTTTGTTATAACAGCCAATAATGGATTCTATACATTATCATTATTATAATGTCGTAAAAGAAACGTTGTACCAAAAAAGCTGATTTTTATGTTTAGTATTTGGGCAGTGATTAGAAGTTGTTTCCGCATCAGCCAGACAGTTTTGACAGTTCCATCTCCTTGCCAGACCATAATATTTTTAGGATAGCTGACAAAGCCAAGAAAACTTGTCTTCATGATGCATCAAAAGTATACATTTATATTCGGAGCATTCGATGACAAAGTTAAACTTGCAGCTATTATAAAAGTGATAGGGGCCTGGCGTTCACCAGCTCTTAGTCTATTCCTTTTAGACATCGGTTTGATACGGGAATCGAAAGATAATAACCTTCAGCAGTAGCATTTGCAGATCCACCGTCGGACGTTGCGGAAGCATCACCTGTAAAAATAAAATAAACGGTTTTTATTACATTATGATTGTAAAATTACTAAAAACAAATACAGGATTTCCCAAAAACAACGGATAACCTTAAAAGTATCGATAAGCCTATATAACACATAGTATAAAAAAATTACTAGGTAGTAAAAATGTCACAGGGTTCCATATGTTTAAGTTCCTTTGTATTTTATATCTTCTTTTTCATTTTTTCAATATTTTGGAACTAGTTACAGAGGCACTTATTGGCCCGCTGAAAATTGGAACTCTGAGATATTTTCAGAAATTTCGTGAGTGAAATCGTGCATGTTTATGAGAAATAGTGCTTAAGGAACGTGGTGATTGGTTCAGTGATTGATTTATTGTACAAACCAGTGAACTAATCCTGACTGATACACAAATTATATTATACAGCGCCAGTGTCATTCAAAATCGGTTTCGTTTGACAGCTTATGGTTGTTGGTCTATTCCGAAAGAATATTATCTATGTTCGACATCGCGATGCATCAGTTCGATTGGGGAATCAAAGGAGAAATTACCTTCTGCAGCAGCATTTGCAGATCCACCATCGGAGCTTGAGGAAGCGTCGGCTGTAATAAATTATGATGTGTTGTAATGTATTTTGTAGTATGTGTACGCGCCACCCTCACACTAACATAAATTAAGGCTTTATATTTGGTGTTGCTGCGTAAACTGAGACACATTATACTCGCATCGTACAGTATTAAACTACTTTCATTGACAACTCCCTGTCCTCACATTACATGGCGACCCTGCCAGTTCTGCCTTAGGGCAGTGCTTTGCAATAAAATAACAAGTGAAAATTTTAATTGGTGTTTATTTAAATGAACTAAAATGAAGTAAAATCAAGGAAGATTCGGAATAAGAAGTGCATTTGAAGAAAAAGTGAAGGAACTTCAGAGAAATAAAGAAGATATCATGTGTCAGAAGACAAAAGATAATTAAAATGAAAACGGAAATGGAAATGCTGGCTGCCGGGCGTAGATGGTGCCAGATGGAGGTTTGGTGATGTGCTGGGCGCTGGGAGATGTCGGAGTCAGATGTTGGTTAATTGCTGGCTGCCGGGAGAGTTCGAGTCCGGATGCCGATGCCGCCGGGTGATGAAGCTCGCGTTAAGGAGATGAAATGATTAGCAAGTACTAAATTACGTATTTCTTAAAAACATTTTAAATACTTAAATAACTAATTTTGTAATTCACATGAGGCCACTGTGTAATTTGTGTATTTTTTAGAAAATAAGAATTTAACGTAGAAGGGTCAAATTAAGTAAGTAATTTTGAAGTCTGAATAATGTCCAAAATTATAACATTATTAACACATTTTTAAATATTTGATATTAATTTGCAGTTTACTTCATCAAATATAAATTTCAATACTTTTAAAAGAAATTGGTTAAAGATTTATCTATTAATTTGTTCATTGTAATTAATTTTGTTTGCTTAATTAAAATAGTTTTATTTGCAAATTTAATATCACTATAATAAATTGGCATTTGAAATTTTTCATTTCACATATTTTTTAAATATTCGTTGTCAGTTTAATTTTCAGTGGTAACAATAAATATTGAGGTAGAATCTATAAAAATCAATTAAGTTTTAAATTTTAAAATGTGCTGTCTTGTGAATATTTTATTACCTAATTTTCTATTGCACATGATAATATAAGGCTGAGTTGCACCACCTAATTTTCATAACGATAACCGATGCTTTTTTTATAGTTTGACAGATTTTTGCCGTTTGTCAAAGTTAAAGTAAGATGGTGCAACTCAGATTTATTGATGTTATGGCATAAAGAAATGGCCAATTTAGTAGTTTAATGCTTTAATTTGTTTCCATAAAATGAATGGATATTCTAAGATGAATCCCCTGGCATTTTACACACACGTGGTACACAAATTTTATAAATTCTGCCACGACTTTGAGCCATCTCTCACGATCCCCGTTAGTCTTACTAATCATAATAAAAATAAATGCCAACAAATTAATACTGTTGCGTTCATAATAAATATGACTAGGTTACATTGATGAAGGTGTCTATTTGATGAAGGTGTCGAATGCATCGATTCTACTGGGAACTAAAAAAGAAAATACCTTCAGCAGCAGCATTAGCAGATTCTTCATCGCCTTCTTCTCCTCCTTCGCCTCCTTGGCCTCCATCGCCGCCATCTCCACCTTCGCCTCCATCTCCACCTTCTCCGCCGTCTCCTCCTTGGTTACCACTGCCTCCTTCGCCTCCATCTCCACCTTCTTCGCCGTCTCCTCCTTGGTCACCATTGCCTCCTTCGCCGTCTCCTCCTTGGTTACCACTGCCTCCTTCGCCTCCATCTCCACCTTCTCCGCCGTCTCCTCCTTGGTTACTATTGCCTCCTTCGCCTCCATCTCCACCTTCTCCGCCGTCTCCTCCTTGGTTACCATTGCCTCCTTCGCCTCCATCTCCACCTTCTCCGCCGTCTCCTCCTTGGTTACCATTGCCTCCTTCGCCTCCATCTCCACCTTCTCCGCCGTCTCCTCCTTGGTTACCACTGCCTCCTTCGCCTCCATCTCCACCTTCTTCGCCGTCTCCTCCTTGGTCACCATTGCCTCCTTCGCCTCCATCTCCACCTTCTCCGCCGTCTCCTCCTTGGTTACCATTGCCTCCTTCGCCTCCATCTCCACCTTCTCCACCATCTCCTTCCATAAAAGGAACACAATTTCTTTTATACCGCCCGCCACCGTTTTCTGAAAGGGAAAAAATATATCGAAAACCACAATGCTGAGTTAATTTCAAATAAATTTTCAGTTATTGTTCCTTGTTAGTAAAATTAAAAAACCTATGAAATGTGATGTTTCCTTCCTAGTAAAATGTTTGTTATACGTAATATACAAGGTATTATTACTACTACACACAGGATTGTTAATGGTCTACTATTACAAACAAATTATTATTAATTATTTTTTAAGTTTATTGGATCGTTTACGTCAGATTCATATTATTCAAGCAGATCACCTGATTTCGATCCCTTCTTCGAAGATCTGGATACTGCACTCGCTAAAAACAAACATAATTTGTTTTAATATAAAATAATTTATTATTACATAAACATTAAAGTTGAAATGATGATGCTTTATGTCTGATGAGTCATTAATAACACGATTTAGATAAAGTAGTAATAAATAAATAAATAAATAGTTTATTTCCAAACCATAACACTAATACAGCTTAAAATCTTAATCACGTTAATTAACAACTTCGTGTTAAAGCAAATAAAATTCTAATTATAAGGAATATCTTGTAACTAAGTGATAGAGAATAATTCCTTAAAGTTTAATAGAATAAAATTCAAAAAACGTAATCATTACTTCACATAGCTCATATAACATAGATATTTTGTTAATAAAGTTATTGTTTACATAATTAGTAATATTAATAATAGTCAATAATACTGGTATAAGCTATATTAAAATTATGTAATTGTTTGTTGTTCTGAATAAAATAAAATAAAATAAAAGTTGACTTACAATATGCTGTTGAATAACTACTGGACCGGCCGCGTCCAGAGCCAGTTTGGGATGTTGCACCAGCTGAAATAAAAAACAAACATAAAATCAAAATAACTGTTTCTGTCTGCCGTTCGGTGTAGTGGTTCGAAATGGACTGCTATCCCGAGAGGTCCCGGGTTCGATTCCCGGCCGGGCAGAAATTGAAATGATGAATTGTAATTTCTGTGAAGGATCTGGGTGTTACTTTAAGTAACCTGGGTGTTATTGTAATCTGGGTGTCATTTATGTATGTATTTAAAAATATTAGTAGTAGATCCGTTAAGCTAGCACCCAGAACACGAGCATATTAATTGCCTACTTTGGGGCTAAATGACGCTGTGTGAAATTGTCCAAAGATAATTATATTTAATAATAGATTTATTATTTATAGTTAGTAAGTATCTAGATTAAGTATATTTAGTCGGGTTTTTAGTATAAAAAAATATGTTTTTTTTTTACCAGCTGCAGCGCTTTCTGATTCACCGCCTGAGCCTGAAGTGCCTGCTGAAAGGTATTAAAATAATGTGTTTAAAAATAATGTAATTATGTTGTTGTCTAAACGATAAATTACAATTCAAATATATCATAAAAGACAATGCCGGAAATTGGCGTCTTTTTTTTCACGCGGCCATCGACCAAACCTTGTTTTTTTTATTACAAAATAGTGTAATAAACCAAACTTACTATGACATGCATACCTCTAAACTCAGTCTGAACTGAGTTACGAGCATTAGAAGTTTGATGATTTTACATACTAGATTTGCTTTATGCGCGCATGTTTTGTAAAAAATTGCAACAAAATATTGACATTGTATGTGTAAACAAACAATACTATCCATTAAAGGCTCCAGACATCAGTATGGAGCAGAATCAGCACAATAAAAAAATAGATTTCCATACAAAATCTGACATTGCCATTTAATACAAGTATTAATGGAAAGAAATAAAATTAATATTGATTTATTTATTTAAAATCGTTATCGCAAACACATTCATGATAAATATCGGTACAACAGGCGATCTTAATGCCATGTGCCACCTTTCAGCTAACCAATAATATTATAATGTAACATTAAATCTATCGTAGCAATTTTAAAAATATAGGAAAATTACCACCGGCAGCGGCTACGGCAGCACTCTCTGCCTCATTTTCTGAGCCTGATGCAGTGCTAGCTGTAAGATTAAATGGCATGGATATAATTTTACTTAACAAAAAATTAAATCCACCAGAGTTATTAAACTAAAAGAAAATTACCACCGGCAGCAGCTAAAGCAGCACTGTCTGATCCATCTTCTGAGCCTGAAGCAGCGCTGGCTGTAAGATTAAATGGAATAAAAAATCACGACAAAGTAAAATGTAACATAACATAATAATATATAAAAACAAAAAGTAACATGTAATAAAACAATATGAATTCATGAGAGTTACCAAAAATGAAACAACAAAAAGAACAACACATCATCACCGTTTTAGCCACAAGATGTCTGCATTCAACATCTTTTTGCTACCTTTATCATATTGTCGTCTACTCCAGAACGTTTCTGCCCTATCAACCAGCCTTATAAAGGAGCTTAAAGTTGCATAGTGTGATATGGAGAGGGCTATGCTTGGTGTTTCTTAACGATGTAATGAGATCAGAAATGAGGATAGCGGTAAATTAACTAAAGTCGCTGACATGGCCCGACGGATTAGCAAGCTGACGTGGCAATGGGCAGGGCACATGGCACGCAAATCCCAACTAATATTATAAATGCGAAAGTAACTCTGTCTGTCTGTCTGTCTGTCTGTCTGTCTGTCTGTCTGTCTGTCTGTCTGTTACGCTTTCCCGCTTAAACCTCACAACCGATTTTGATGAAATTTGGCATAGAGATAGTTTGAGTCCCGGGAAAGAACATAGGATAGTTTTTATCCCGGTTTTTGAAACAGGGACGCGCGCGATAAAGTTTTTCTGTGACAGACAAAATTCCACGCGGGCGAAGCCGCGGGCGGAAAGCTAGTATAACATAAACTCAATGTAACATTAAATCCATTGTCTTTATTATCATCATCATCTCAGCCATAGGACGTCCATTTCTGAACTAGACCTCTCCTAATGCTTTCCATGTTGCAACAAATCCATTGTAGTTTTTTTTAAATTAAAATAAAATTACCAGCAGCAATGGCCGCAGCAGCACTGTCTGTTCCATCTTCTGAGCCTGAAGCAGTGCTGGCTGTAAGATTACATGACATAAATATTATAATGTAACATAACAATATAAAGCCAATAGAGTTATTACAACTAAAAGAAATTTACCACCGGCAGCGGCTGCGGCAGCACTGTCTGATCCATCTTCTGTAGCAGTGCTAGCTGTAAGATTGAATGGCACAAATCACAACCAAGTAATGATAAAAGCCGCATTGTAACTGTTGGCAACTGGCATGCAGAGCAGCCGCCATACCATAGATAAATGCTATTGATTTTATAGTTTTGACACTCTGTTTTCTAGTTAGTTGTCACTTCTTGGCCTTTGTATTGAACGGTTCTGTTTTACACTGACTGACTCAATCATCACGAAATCTCAGAAACTACAAGTGCTAGGAATCTCAAATTTAGCATGGGGGGTTTCTTTTAGATCGTAGGTGCTCACTAGAATGGATTTTACGAAACTCCACCACCAGGAAGGTAAAACGAGATCCACGAATGCGAAGACGCGGGCGGCCGCTAGTTAAAAATAAAAGAAAATTACCACCGGCAGCAGCTACAGCAGCACTGTCTGATCCATCTTCTGAGCCTGAAGCAGCGCTGGCTGTAAGATGTAATGGCATAAAAAATCACAACAAAGTAACATGTAATAAAACTATATATGAATCCATCAGAGTTAACAAAAATGAAACAACAAAAAGAACATCATCAACACCGTTTCAGCCACAAAACGTCTGCATTCAGCATCTTTCTGCTACCTTTATACTATTATTGTAGTCTGCCCACCTTACAGGTCGACGTCCCATACTGCGCTTTCCGAGACGTGGCCTCTATTCCAGAACGTTTATGCCCTATCAACCGGCCTTATAAAGAAGCTCAAAGTTACACAGCGTGATATAGAGAGGGCTATATTTGGTGTTTCTTTACGAGGTTGGATCAGAAATTAGGATATCCGTAAATTACCTAAAGTCGCCGACATGGCCCGACGGATTAGCAACCTGAAGTGGCAATGGGCAGGGCACATATTACGTAAAAATAACATAAACTTAATGTATCATTAAACCAATTGTAGTTATTTTAAAATTAAAAGAAAATTACCAGCAGCAATAGCAGCAGCAGCACTCTCTGTTCCATCTTCTCCTTCACCTCCTTCTCCTCCTTCTCCTCCTTCTCCTCCTTCGCCTCCTTCGCCTCCTTCGCCTCCTTCGCCTCCTTCTCCTCCTTCACCTCCTTCGCCTCCTTCTCCTCCTTCACCTCCTTCCCCTCTTCTCCTCCTTCGCCTCCTTCGCCTCCTTCGCCTCCTTCTCCTCCTTCACCTCCTTCGCCTCCTTCTCCTCCTTCGCCTCCTTCGCCTCCTTCTCCTCCTTCACCTCCTTCGCCTCCTTCTCCTCCTTCGCCTCCTTCGCCTTCTTCGCCTCCATCGCCACCATCACCTCCATCGCCATCATCACCTCCATTGCCACCATCGCCTCCATCGCCTCCTTCGCCTCCATCGCCTCCTTCTCCACCATCTCCTCCTACTTTACCGTCGGAGCTTGATGAAGCTTTGGCTGTAACAATATTAGGTGTGTCTCAAATCAATACAATAAACGTCTCTATTGCGTTCAATAATTAAAAAATAGTTACATTGATGTGATGATGCACAGAAATGCATCTGTACTAAGGGAAATAAAGTACAGTACTCAGGAGGATTTGATGAGTGCTACTGACAACGCCACTCTTGTGGCGGAGTTTTGGGCTGACACTGTGTAGGTTTGTTGTCGACACGAAAAGAAGAAGAAGGGAAATAAAAGTTGTTTATTTACCTTCAGCACTAGCATCTGCGGATCCACCATCTGAGCTTGAAGATGCGTCGGCTGTAATAATGTTAGGTGTTTCTTAATATATTATTACTATTGCTAATTAGTAGTATTTAAAAAGTATTAAGTACATATTTATATCCGTCGTCTAGTACCCTTAGACTGGGTTGCAAAATTTTATATTAACTTTAACATACTTCAAAAATCTGTCAAACTCCATACAAAGACATTGGTTATCGTTATAGTTACCACTTAAGTGTGGTTCAACTTAACATTAGTACAGCTTTGCTTAGTTTGGGACTAGAGGTGGAGTGTAAAATGTCCAAGGATATTTATTTATTCAATTGATGTAAACAGAAAATGCATCAGTACTATGAGGGAGCTAAAAAAGAATTTACCTTCAGCAGAAGCATCTGAAGATCCGCCGTCTGAACTTGATGAAGCTTCAGCTGTAAGTAACAACGTTAAAAGAGTATTAATACAATTGCGATTGCGTACGTTCATTGATGTAAATACCATTGATGTAAGTAAAGATACAACAGACCAAGTGCAAGTCGGACTCGTGCACCAATGGTCCTGTACAAACTGTTAGATATTAATATTGGCTTCTTCTTTGCTCGGCCCATTCCCATTTTATTTGGGGTCGGTCCTCTTCATCATTCGTCTAAGATATAAATAGTGTAAAAAAGGTCTTTTCCATTTATGATGTTTAATCATACAAATAATAAAAATTTGTTAACCTTGTGTGAATGATGTTCTTTTATGCGATACCCCACATGACAACTCAATTCATACCAATGTATAGTTTTAAAATTTCTTGAAAAAATTAACCCACGAACGGGCGTTTGCTCTCACCATCTGAGCTACTTTGACATTGAGAGAACCCGTAGAAATTTTCAAGTGTAGATACACTTTTGTGGTCAGAGTTCACTTTTCAGCAATTCGATTTTTTTAAGTTATTTTATTTAGATCGAGAGGCAGGCGACTTTTAACGCCAGAAAATTTTAATGTTTTTTCACAGCTTGAGGGACGGAATGAGTATATCGTTTTAAATTTAATTCAACGCCTCCACGCGTTGCTTAGATAAAGGGTCTCAACAGACAGAAGGACAAAAAAGTAATCTTATAACGTTACCCTAAAAACTAAAAAAAAAACGGAAAAGGTTCTGTTAGGGAATTTAAAAAATACCTTCAGCAGTAGCATTTGCAGATCCACCGTCTGAGTTTGATGAAGCGTTGGCTGTAACAATTTTAGGTTCAAATTAAAATTCTTTATTTGCTTATAAATAGGGTACATAGGTACAAGTGATGTTGGTATTTTATCAATAGTGCAGTCATATTTAGCCAATGTCAGTTAGCCTGCAAATTACTATGCTAGATGCGTTTTAAGTTAACTTTTAATGCATTACGATTGCGTATAATGATATTTTATGATAATAATGTTATGACACAAACAAATGTATCGATTGTATTATAGAACTAAAATAAAAAATACCTTCAGCAGAAGCATTTGCAGATCCTCCATCGCTTTCATCTTCACCCTGTCCACCGTCTCCTCCATCGCCTCCGTCACCTCCTTCGCCTCCTTCGCCTCCATCTCCTCCTTGATCACCGTCGCCTCCATCGCTGCCTTCGCCTCCTTCGCCTCCATCTCCGCCATCTCCGCCATCTCCTCCTTGATCACTGTCGCCTCCTTCACCTCCTCGCCTCCTTCGCCTCCTTTGCCTCCATCTCCGCCATCTCCTCCTTGATCACCGTCGCCTCCATCGCCTCCTTCGCCTCCTTCGCCTCCTTCGCCTCCTTCGCCTCCATCTCCGCCATCTCCTCCTTGTTCACTGTCGCCTCCATCGCCGCCATCGCCTCCATCGCCTCCTTCGCCTCCATCTCCGCCATCTCCTCCTTGTTCACTGTCGCCTCCATCGCCGCCATCGCCTCCATCGCCTCCATCGCCTCCTTCGCCTCCGTCTCCTCCTTCTGCAAATATTTATGTAAATGCCTGAAGCTCAAAATTAAATAGGACTTCAATAATAAGTTTTAAATAAGTTTCTATTACTGGTCTACCGGCTCTAGTTTTTATGGTGTCTCGTTTTGTAATTCGAGACGAAAATTAAATAATAAAAGATCTCTATGGTCATTACGAGACTATTCTGGTAAACCAACAAAAGCATTATCTTTGCTTAACTTGAAGGATAAAAAGGAATATTTGGAATTTTTGCAATATAAATTCTGTGACAAAAAGTTTTTAATTTAATATTTAATTTTCTTACCAGATCCTGTGTCTCCACCGGAACCGCTAGACTGAGCATACGATCCGGCTGTAACAAAATTAATCGTAGCAAAATTAAGAAGTTTGTGTTTGACTGTCCTTTTTTGCATCTTTTGCAGGCTAACGGCTTCTTAATTACCTACATCATTGTCATTTAGGCTGTAGCTCTGTTTTGTGTTAATCAGTTTTTACTATTAAGGGCTGATTTTTCAATTCTTAGATATCTTTTATCTGAAGAATAATCTTTTCATTTTGACATATTTCCCATACTGAAACTGTCAATTTCCAAACTTATTATTCAGTTAAAAGTTATCTGACGATTGAAAAATCAGTCCTTAGTTCAATAACTTAATCGGTTGCTTCAAAAGGCTTAGGATACATAATATGGAAAACATGACACAGTAGCCTTAGCCCGCTTTAACGTTAACCTTCCTGCAGTTTACACAGCTGTCCCAAAAAGTAATGTCAAGCCCAAGTCCAGAGGTAGATCATCGACGAGGGCTACCCGAATCACCATCATGTATGTTCCGCGATTTTTGATAGTTTTCGAGTTATGATTATTTGATTCTGTGTTTAGTTTTTTGGTTACTATGGCGAGAATAGGTAGCAAGCCTGATTTGGATGAATACTAGGTATAGCTGATTCAGAAGTATTTCCATTTATAACACGAATGTAAACTAAAAACGTTAAAAATCCTGTATGTTGTAAAAAAATCATTACTTGGAAACTATCAAAAGTTGCGGTGATTGGGGTAGCTCTTGTGATGTTCTACCTCTGAGCTTGACACAGTTTTTTAGGAAATTCTGTATTTAATTTAACTTAATTTTTTTACCGTAACTGCCAGAATAGCTTCCAGAATCATCAGTGACAGAAGATGCTCCAGCTGCAAAAAAATCCGAATATTGAGATGAACAGAGGTACTTTGTCCGAAATAAATAATAAATTGTCCAAGTACACCATTGTTTTTAAAAGCTGTAACGTTATCGTTGTGATAATATAAGTTAGCATTGTAATTCTTTACCATAACTGTCTGAGTTGCTATCAGAACCATCAGTGGCAGCAGATGCTCCAGCTGCAAATGAATCGGAATATTGAGATGAACAGAAGTACTTTGTTCGAAACAAATAATAGTGTCCAAGTACACGATTGTTTTTAAAAGCTGTAACGTTATCGTTGTGATAATATAAGTTAGCTTACCATAACTGTCTGAATTGGTATCAGAACCATCAGTGGCAGCAGATGCTCCAGCTGCAAAAGAATCGGGATATTGAGATGAACAAAAGTACTTTGTCCGAAACAAATAATAAAGTGTCCAAGCACACGATTGTTTTTAAAAGCTGTAACGTTATCGTTGTGATAATATAACTTAGCATTTTAATTCTTTACCATAACTGATTGTATTGCTATCCGAACCATCATTGGCAGCAGATGCTCCAGCTGCAAAATAATCGGAATATTGAGATGAACAGAAGTACTTTGTCCGAAACAAATAATAAAGTGTCTTAGTACACGATTGTTTTTAAAAGATGTAACGTTATCGTTGTGATAATACAAGTTAGTTTACCATAACTGTCTGAATTGGTATCAGAACCATCAGTGGCAGCAGATGCTCCAGCTGCAAAATAATCGGAATATTGAGATGAACAGAAGTACCTGCTTTGTTAGAAACATATTATTATAATAAAGTGTCCAAGTACACCATTGTTTTTAAAAGCTGTAACGTTATCGTCGTGATAATATAAGTTAGCATTTTAATTCTTTACCATAACTGATTGAATTGCTATCAGAACCATCATTGGCAGCAGATGCTCCAGCTGCAAAATAATCGGAATATTGAGATGAACAGAAGTACCTGCTTTGTTAGAAACATATTATTATAATAAAGTGTCCAAGTACACGATTGTTTTTAAAAGCTGTAACGATATCGTTGTGATAATATAAGTTAGCATTATAATTCTTTACCATAACTGTCTGAGTTGCTATCAGAACCATCAGTGGCAGCAGATGCTCCAGCTGCAAAAGAATCGGGATATTGAGATGAACAGAAGTACTTTGTTCGAAACAAATAATAGTGTCCAAGTACTGGTTGTTTTTACAAGCTGTAACGTTATCGTTGTGATAATATAAGTTAGCTTACCATAACTGTCTGAATTGGTATCAGAACCATCAGTGGCAGCAGATGCTCCAGCTGCAAAAGAAAATGAATATTGAGATGAAGTACTTTGTCCGAAACTATTAATAAAGTGTCCAAGCACACGATTGTTTTTAAAAGCTGTAACGTTATCGTTGTGATAATTTAAGTAAGTTTACCATAACTGTCTGAATTGGTATCAGAACCATCAGTGGCAGCAGATGCTCCAGCTGCAAAAGAATCGGAATATTGAGATGAACAGAAGTACTTTGTTCGAAACAAATAATAAAGTGTCCAAGCACACGATTGTTTTTAAAAGCTGTAACGTTATCGTTGTGATAATATAACTTAGCATTTTAATTCTTTACCATAACTGATTGTATTGCTATCCGAACCATCATTGGCAGCAGATGCTCCAGCTGCAAAATAATCGGAATATTGAGATGAACAGAAGTACTTTGTTCGAAACATATAATAAGGTGTAAAGGTACATGATTGTTTTTAAAAGCTGCAACATTATCGTTGTGATATTATAATATAAGTAAGTTTACCATAACTGTCTGAATTGGTATCAGAACCATCAGTGGCAGCAGATGCTCCAGCTGCAAAAGAATAGAAATATTGAGATGAAGTACTTTGTCCAAAACTATTAATAAACTGTCCAAGTACACGATTGTTTTTAAAAGCTGTAACGTTATCGTCGTGATAATATAAGTTAGCATTTTAATTCTTTACCATAACTGATTGTATTGCTATCCGAACCATCATTGGTAGCAGATGCTCCAGCTGCAAATAATCGGAATATTGAGATGAAAAGAAGTACTTTGTCCGAAACATAATAATAAAGTGTCTAAGTACACGATTGTTTTTAAAAGCTGTAACGTTATCGTTGTGATAATACAGGTTAGCTTACCATAACTGTCTGAATTGGTATCAGAACCATCAGTGGCAGCAGATGCTCCAGCTGCAAAAGAATTGGAATATTGAGATGAAGTACTTTGTCCGAAACAAATAAAAAAGTGTCCAAGTACACCATTGTTTTTAAAAGCTGCAACGTTATCGTTGTGATAATATAAGTAAGTTTACCATAACTGTCTGAATTGGTATCAGAACCATCAGTGGCAGCAGATGCTCCAGCTGCAAAAGAATCGGAATATTGAGATGAACACGAGTACTTTGTCCGAAACGAATAATAAAGTGTCCAAGCACAAGATTGTTTTTAAAAGCTGTAACGTTATCGTCTTGATAATATAACTTAGCATTTTAATTCTTTACCATAACTGATTGTATTGCTATCCGAACCATCATTGGCAGCAGATGCTCCAGCTGCAAAAGAATCGGAATTTTGATATTCGGAATATCGGAACAAATAATGGTGTCCAAGTACACGATTGTTTTTAAAAGCGGTAACGTTTTCGTTCTGATAATATAAGTAAGCATTCAAATTCTTAACCATAACTGTCTGATATGCTATCAGAACCATCAGTGGCAGCAGATGCTCCAGCTGCAAAAGAATCCGAATTTTGATTTTCGGAATATCGGAACAAATAATGGTGTCCAAGTACACGATTGTTTTTAAAAGCTGTAACATTATCGTTGTGATATAGGAACTTACCAGAAATAAAGCTTGATTCAAATGATTCAGGCTTTGTCGAAAATGTTTATTATCATGTAGTTTACCCTGTAAACGCCTAATAACTAGCAAAGCATTCAGCATCATTGAAACTTCTGTCTCTTTCCCTTAATCGATAATCAATCAATTAAAATTTTCCATAACGGATGGGCCTTGTCGTGAAGAAAAAGAAACAGAAGTCTTTTTTTATCTATGAACCTGAAATTTTAGCGAGTTGTTTCGTTTACTTCAGGGTAAACTTCATGGTGATAAATCTAAGGCAGGATAATAATGAAATAATATTAACTTACCATCACTCACTGTTGTGCTTCCATCGCCGTCACCGTATGCATAGGATCCAGCTATAATCAAGTTTAATGAGTAGTTTTGTCTTATTATTTTAACTTAATGTTAGATTTTACTGCTTAATTATAACTAGGACTGAGTTATTAAATATTTGTTTTAGCACCAAGAGTCAGCTTCGTCGTTTTAAAGTAAGTAGCTACCATAGATGCCGCTAAAAATAGCTACAATTTAATGTAATATTAAGATGTAGGTTCCACATCAAAAGTTAAGATACTTGAAGTCAATATTTCAGTATTCAATATAGTCATTTCTTTTTAAGATTTATCGCTACTGTTATAATGTGTATTGATTTACCATAACTTCCTGAATTGGTTCCAGAACCATCAGCGTCAGAAGATGCTCCAGCTGCAAAAAAAAATAGATATTGATTTATCAGTAATCTTCTGAAGTCAGTAATATTTTAAACAAATATTGTAGTGTCCATTTACTCCATTATATTTAAATGATTTAACGTTTTGTTGTTGAGTAGTTATATTATTCCTTACCGTAACTTCCTGTATTACTTCCAGAACCATCAGTGGCTGCGGACGATCCAGCTGCAAAAGAATTGTGATATTGATATCAGTAATAATTTGAAAAAACCAATATTATAGTCTTCATTTACGCCATTTTATTTAAAGTATTTAACGTTTTGTTGTAACATTAAGTCCTTTAATTTCTGACCATAACTATCTGAAATAGTTCCAGAACCATCAGTGTCGGCAGATGCTCCAGCTGCAATAGAATTGTAGTGTTAAGAACAAATTTACCTCATCTGCAAGAAAAAGCTCGGTTTCATTAAAATCATTAACGTTATTGTTAAAGTTGTTAATACGTATTTATTTACCATAACTGTCTGAACTGGTTCCAGAATCATCATTAGCTGCATATGATCCAGCTGCAATATAAACACTTCAAGTGTTTAAAAAAAATCTTATCTGAGAGAAATAAGTAGCGAAATACTTAAAGCAATAACTAAGTTGTTACAGTCGTTATTTATTTACCGTAACTGTCTGTATTGGTTCCAGAACCATCAGAGCCAGCAGCTGATCCAGCTGAAACATAATTTTAATATTGAGATGTAGGTAAGCATGTATTATGGATGTCGTTAAAAGTTTTTGTCGTTCAAATGAACGAAACGAAAGAAAAATGTCTTGTATTTATTATTTTATCTTAAATACCGTTTATAAAAATTTGTGTAAGTAATATAATTTCTTTACCATAACTTCCCGTATTGCTTCTAGGGCCATTTGCGACAGAAGACGCTCCAGCTGCAATTTAATAACATCTTTATTTTTCAAATAAACAAAATACTGCTCCTAAAATAAAGTTGCAGTAAGAAGTATTCTTATGTGCTGTTATAACCCAGTAACCTATTATTATTTGGTTTTTCTATTCATATTTTGTACGATTGTTTACCTGATGATCCAGTTTTTCCATTTTGTGAACTGGCTGAAAATCAAAAATTTTGGAGCTTAATTAAAATAAAGTAATAAAAATATCATCATCCTCATCATCATCATCATTTCAGCCACAGGAAAAAAAATATAATTGTTTTCAATTTATTTGCTTTATTTTTATGTAAGTAGTGCGTAATTGCAGTAATAAGTTATTAATGCAATTACTAATAATATACTAATAATATTACTAATAACAAACTTTTTAGTATTCGGTGTTATAATCTGTGCCCGAATATTGAAAAAAAAAGAAGCCATCTTTGAAGTTGCAGCAATGTGTGGCACAACAGTGGGCTGAGTGTTCATATCAGCGCTCACTAGTTTTAAAAAATGTATGAACATTTTAGTTTTTGAACGTTTCCCGCTAGGGGCGCTGTACAATCCGTCGTACATTTAATGTCATTTTTTAAAGCACTCACTAGTGAGCGCGTTTGATGAAAACTCACACTCAGCCCTCAGGTAAACTCTGTTAGCATTCTATAGTTATAAAAGGTGTCTTTGGGCAATAAAAATTAAGTTTCATGTTTTGTTTACTAACTACATAATACATATTATGTAAGTATAGTTTTTAAATATGTAAACCTAATACTTAGACATTATTTACTATTTTTAGTGACTGGTCATAATTACCGTATCCATAAGAGCTGGAGTAGGATCTCGTTAATGATGGGTGATAATATTGACGCGGAACACCTGTAATTAATTAATTAGTATTTTCATTATTTTTTATTTAGTCGACTAATTAACGGGAATGAACCATGTTTTCATGTGAAGAGTAACATATTCATCACTAGCTTTTGCCCGCTGCTTCACTTAGGTGAATTTCGTTCTCGGATATGTCATCCCCATTTTAAAAACCGGGATATTATTATCCTATGTAACAGGTAACAGACAGAGTTACTTTGTGATTATATTATGGAGGGATTTCATCAACCTTAGGAAGAGTGCAGATACCCCTCGTCCCTAAATATCCTCGTAGTAAGGAAAATCTTTTCAGGTGGGGATTCTTGGATGGCTCAACCTTGGAGTGCAGGTGCGATTTTGTTCACATGATGTCATGCACTGAGTGCCCGAGCAACTGCACGCAGGAGAATTTAATGAATGCTGCTGACAACACCACTCTTGTAGCGGAGTTTTGGGCTGACACTGTGTAGGTTGCTTGTCGACACGATAAGAAGAAGATCCTCATAGGGGAATAGTTTTACCTAATTTCAAATTAATTAGTTGCCAAACAGCAAATGTTCATAAATTGTAGTTAAACACTACTTACCGAATCGGTTAGGGTTGCCTGCAAAAAGAATTTAATTACTTAGAATTTTATAAAAAAAATGTAAAGCTCAAATTGAACGGGAAATTATGCTGTTGAGGAGTAAAGTATTTTTTTTTTAAAGATTATTAGTAATTTTTGTACTGTAAATATAATGCTTGTGTTACAAGTGGGCTGACCACAATAGTCGAGCGGCGGCGGGATTCGAACTTGCGTTCCTCAGATTTCGAATCTGCTAGTTCGACCCTTCACCGCTCGGCTATCGTGGCTTCATAAAGTATTACTAAAGTTACTTAAATGATTAAATAACCAAAAACTGTACTTACCATAGTAGTAGTTTGGGGTTACTAGTCCTAAATGTAGGGCTAATAGAAATGATAATATTGCCAATCTGATCTCCATTGTATATGCAGGAGTCATGCGACTGACGATTCGGTCTTGGCTAGCAACTTTTATATGAAAAAAAGCAATTAATATTTTATTAACTTACTAGATCCTGTCCCGGTTTTGCCTGCCCATATTACGGCCTTCACAGTCAAAATCAAGTAAAAATATTGCCGTAAAATTCAATTTATTCTGAAATGAACTTTTTTTTACATAATTATCCCTAATTTAGATTATATTTTTGGGACAAAATTTAACTCCTCTAACTTATTTTGTCAAAACTGGCTTAGATAGACAGACAAAATTTACTATCGGATGTAATATTAGTAATAATAATGTGATCGTGACGGATTAATTAATGCATTTTATAACTAAATCATGAAGCTCGTGATAACGTGACAATTTAATGTTTAAAATAAAAAAGAAATAAAAAAAGAAAAATCCTGACTTTCTCTAAAAGCAGAGTCTTCCAGAAACGATTCGTCTCTTTTACGAAATATGAATATGTCATTTATTCTGGGAACATGTTATAATGTGGCTGTCCGTTATCAAACGGAGCCAATGATATCAAAAACCTAGTACTCCTATCTCTTTGATGAATCAAGTATCAAAAAAGTAAGTTCCTATAATTCATATTGTAATAAGGAATCCATTTATTTGATAAGGAAATCAAATTCTTCAATATAATATTGTCGAATGCGATTCAAATATCATAATTAACGTTTTAAGTAACAAAATCATAATATAATGATTATTCCTTGATAAACATAACAAAAGTGCTTATCTCCACATATCATTTTATGATCGACGAATTTCAATAACCGTCCTTACAATGCAATACTTTGGAGTCATAGCAGAGATTTGACTGTAATAACAATTCGGTCGGAAACAGCGCGGTGTGGATTCAGTCACAATACAATTGGATACAGAAAGATCCCTGTAAATACTTACGCCCTTACTAATAAAAGTTACACACTCGTTGAACAGTGTTTTAAAGTGAAGTTTAGCATGGAAATGTCACTTTAAAACAGTGTTCAACAAGGGTGTAACTTTTTATTAGTAAGGGGGATAAAGTGGGGACGCATCAACTGAAGGTTATTAGGTTATTTGTACGATTCTTCTTCCATCGTGAGAGTAGTACGTCAAATTGACCTGGTGTCAGACCCTGGTAAGTTATATTTATTGTGAACCGCCATAATTCTATCAAATTGACAGCTTAGTGCGCCCTCTGAAGCAGAGAAAATCCTATTTCTTTTTCAGGCCATAAGTTATTTCAAGTCTGCTATGTCCTAACCAAACGAAATTGGAATGATCTGGAAACAAAATGGTTTTACTGCTGACCTCACCGGGTTTAAGTACTGGGTAAGACAGAACCTCCAAGTCCAGTCTCATTATCTTAGGCTTAGGCTGGGTTGCACCATCTTATCAACCGACTTCAAAAAAAGGAGGAGGTTCTCAATTCGACCCGTATGTTTTTTTTTTTTTTCTATGTTTGTTACGCGATAACTCCGCCAATTATGAACCGATTTGAACAAATCTTTTTTCGGCGTATAGGTAATACCTCAAGGGTGGTCCCATTTAAATTTAATAATAAAAAAAACAACCCCCAAGGGTGGAAAATTGGGGATGAACTTTTTTATACGCAATATCTCCGCCGATTATAAACCAATTAGAACGATTACTTTTTTGTTGAATAGGTATTATCAAAAGGGTGGTTTCATGCGAATTTGAAGAAAATATTTCACCCCCAAGGGTGGAAAATTGGGGATGAACTTTTTTATAATATACATTAAGAATATGGTCTCAATGTACTGCCTACCTTCAGTGGTAACATCAAGGTAATAATTAGTCAACTAAAAAGCAAGAAATAAGTTAAATTTTATAAAAAAAAAATAAAACCGACTCCAAAAAACCTACACTAAAAAGCAGAATAATAATTACTAATTACCTACTTATTTATTAGGACGAATTATTAATATTTATGTAGGTATACCATGATTGATACTTTTGGAGTCGGTGCAGGCAAACTTTACATGTTTCATAATCTTGGCACCGACTCCAGAAGTATCAATCATGGTATACCTACATAAATATTAATAATTCTTCCTAATAAATAAGTAGGTAATTAGTAATTATTATTCTGCTTTTTAGTGTAGGTTTTTTGGAGTCGGTTTTACCTTATCGAACGTCAAAAATCTGTCTAACTCCATACATGAAACATCGGTTATCGTTATAGTTACCGTCACAGTTAGGTGGTGAAACTCAGCCTTAATATTCTTGTCAAATTCCTTAAGTGGTTGAGAATTCCGGGTAAAGCTCGCTTCCACCTTTTGCCTGATCATCACTACGGAACAGGAGTGATACAGGCAAATAGCTTCTCCGTTGTAGTTAAGGAAACTTCGCGAGTTGAATATCAAGTAAGTTATGAGCCCCATAATGATCACTGGGGCCATTTACCCCTTGAGAAACCCTGAGATTGAGGATCTTCCCTATCTACAGGTCCTACTGAACCACCTTGCATAGATGTAGTCATCTTGGCTTTATAGCCCCAGTTCAATATCGTCCCATTGACACTACGCGGTTATTGCAGCGGTAGATGCCATAATTTCGGTTATTTCTTCATTCAGCGCGAAATTTTCTCGTATATTTCGCAGATGTGTTTCGTATTGTTTGTTATCAGTACGATTTTTGGGTAATTGACAATGAATAAGTAGATAATCGTACGCAGAGATTTAGTTCTGTACTAGATCTACAATGTTTATTTCTGTAAATGTTGTCGGGAAGAATAAAATTTAACACTTTTGGTGTATCATTATAATTTATTGTGAATAAGCAGTGCGAAGTAGATTGAAGAATTGATACGACATGCTGCAAACCTGAAACAAAATAATACATTTTAGAGAGGTATTCTATAGATATGATAGTAAATTAACTCGTGGAACAAGTACCTAAATTATGTAGTTTTCAGTCAAAACTTAACCAAAACTGAAACGTTGAAAGAAAAAGATACGCACACCACTGAAACTGTTAAGGTTCATAGCTATGTAGCCCTTAGCGGTATACTTAAAAGGTCTTTGTGTCCTCGTCATGATAATCAGAAGGGCCATCTTCGTCTCAGTATTGGCGTACGGCCAGTCCGCCGAGTATATGGCATCGGTTAGGCAATCACTCTGTAAAGATTAGCTTTGGTAAACAGTCAAACCGTAATACTGAACAAAAAAAAAATGAAGTCGAACACGAAAAATTCCACTTTCGATGTGGCTTGGTAAAGTAAAACAGTTTAACTTTTGCTTAAAATAAAATTACACTCGTATTCACAAACAATGCTTGCTTAAGTGAAGTAGCAAATCGAAGGCACAGCATTGAATAGAGCTCTGTGATTGGTTCGTATCTCAGCCTGTACATGCACGCGCTGTGAGACGTCATAGTAATGTGTGTGAATACGGGCGAAAATCACTTTGTAAAAGTATATTATGAAGTGTTTAAATTCCCTAAATGTTTTGTAGTGCCTCATATTTTGAGGTACTGTATATTTATGTATAAGGTAGGATAGTAAATAAATCAACTTAAAAATTTTGTGTTTTAAACTTTAAAACAACTTACATCATCGGTTAGGATTTGCCCAATCATACAGTAAAAAAATACTTCAATAAGTAAAGAACAAAACATGAAAAAGTATCGCAATGACTTGTACATGTTGTCCACGACCTGTAAAATAAAATATTTATTAAAACTATGATAGCTCATGATGTAGGAAAGATCACTTTATTAAGCCTAGGTTTACAATAAAGTGAAACATTAAATTTTTAGCTACTTTGAAATCAGCGCTGGATGCAGGACGCTACCAACCGGGCAACATGGAAAGCATCGGCGGAGGCCTATGTTCAGCAGTGGACGCCCTATGGCTGAGATGATGATGATGATGATTGGAATCGTCGATTGAGTAATGGAATATAATGTTTGTTTGTTTGACGTGACTTACCGTAGAAGAGAAGATAGTAAGAGTTAGAAAGACAGACCCAAAGAGGTAGTTAGCAAGTGTCACATCACCTTGAACTATGTCAAACTCTGATACGATCCTGAAAATACGATAATAAGTTAGAAATGTAATAAACTAACGAAAAGTTTACATTAAACTTGGCTTATAATCAACCGATTTGACAAAGAACTACCTAAACTACTAAATAACTTACTGAGCGAGTAATTGATGACGTATAATTATAGTTTTCAGCTTCCGTTTTATATTACCGTGAGTTTCTTGAAGTTTCGTCCGGTTCGCTATATTGGTGATATCCTCAGACGTCACCAAGTTTTGGATACTACTGCCCAATATCTTCAGCTCCAAACAAATAAATAAGGTATACGAAGAATGAATCATATTCGTAAATGCGTACACGACAACAACGATCATTGTCATGAAGCTCTCCCATAGGTACACTGTATAGTACCAGTCCACCTTGTCGAATGGGTACCAACCATCGAACGGGTACAAATACTCGGTGTCGTCGCTCCCCAAAAATTCGCGCTCCAAATACATTATAATCCTTGGAAAAGAATCAACAAATATGACTAGAGGTATTGAGTAATAAATCAGAAATCTGGATATGAATTTTGTTTTAGTAGCGTATTGAGTGACAATATTTTGGTGTTCGACAGAGTCCGAAATCACATCCCACAGTTCGTCGCGGAAATGCTCAAAAATTTTCTTGTAAAGGTCCCGGTTGACATGAACTTTGGTGTACTTCAGGAGTGCCATTAGAACAACTGCTAGATTGGGTGCAACGTTGATTATCTCAATCCATTCCTTGACATCTGCCACCAGTAAAGCTGTCAAAAGTTGAGCAGCGGTTACGATCAACAGGAGACACACGAGCATGTAGCATACATAGACTCTTTTGGTCCTTCCAATGAAAGGGTAGAGAAACAATTTAGAGCCCAAAATACTCAAAAAATCCAACTCAATTTGGGTTAACTTTTTCAAGGCACAGTAAACTTTTTCAGGCATTTTTTATGAATTTCAGGAATTTACAAGCAGCCTGACTTCTAAGTCGACTGATCGAATTAAAGTGGAGTGAGCACTAATTTGAAACACACGTCATTATGAATGAGTAAGGGGTGTTCTGTGTTACATAGGTATATTCAATATAATAAGATGTATCCAGTACATATCGAAAGTTAGGGCTTAAATCACATATCGAAAGTTTAGATTTACAATTGTGTAAAAAATATTTATTGTGTAAAAAATCTTTAACCGACAAACTTACAGAAAGTCCAGGACTAGACTCTACCAATGTTCTGCTATGATGGTGCAAAATTTGTGTTTTACTTACTTTTTTCTAGCAGTTTAAACGTGTTAATAAATTTTTAATAGAAGAAAATAAAAGGTACAGGAACAGGTATTACTAAAATTCGTTGTCTTTTTGATACACTCGGTATAACAATAAGGTTGGCTTTGATTAAAGATTACCGTAGCTTCAATCCGCCCCATTGTTCTGTCCCATTACTACCACGAATTACACGTTCAATACCACTAGTTTGTCAATCAATTTGAAGTCTTTACTTAAGCCCGCTAATTTCACGTCAAATTCGACCTTATAGCATGCAAATATAGTCGCAAATTACAGGGGAAAGTAATTTAATATGGACAAAAGTGGGTCAAGAGGTTCTCAAACGTATCGCTCATAATTTGCTCGTATTGTTCAAATCTCAGAGGGCAGGGGCACTCTACGACGTTAGGGCTACCATAATATTGATCTAAATCGGACATAATCATAGGCAAAAAGAACAGAGGCCCTAGTGCAAGTTTAGATCACTAGTGAGCGCGTCAAAAAATGACATTAAATGTATGACGGATTGTCACTGTACAATCCGTAGAGGGAAACGTTAAAAAGATTCCGTGGAGGGTAGTTGAACGGGAAGCATGGTCGATCTGTTTTAATGGTTTCAATTTATTATTTAATGGACTTTAGTGTACAAATTTGGTGTTATTTTGTGTTCTAAAGTGCAGTGAAGTGATAAATTATAAAAAACATTGAAATACTTCGAATTTGAGCGCGCATCGAGTGTCGAGTGGGTTGTCGTATGAACAACCCGCTTTGGACCCGGTGGCGTCTCGAAACCTGCTTACGGGCATACTTAACTCCACGGAATCCATGAAAAATCAATAGAACTGAAACACCCACGTTCTATTGATATGATAACTATGTCAATATTTTTCACTCGACATTGGCAGAAATAAACCTCCCAGAGAGGTTTGGTTGCCACAAATAAAAAAAAAAAAAAAAAAACGTTAAAAAACTAAAATTTTCATAATTTTTTTAAACGCGCTCACTAATGAGCGCGTTTGATGTAAACTCACACTCAGCCCACAGATTTTAATTTGGGTTTGTCATTTCGGGCGAGCTTGGTATTCCGCAATGATTATGATTATTATTTTATATCTTACCAATGAGATGCAGGCCAAGAGCCCCTACATTGTGGATTTAACCAATCAAACTTTTATCCCTTTTCATCTTCAAGTTTTCACAACAAACGGTAGCCTACTCGTATGATGAAATTAATAGAGTTTATATAGCTACTTTAATTTTATATTGCAACTAAATAGTATTACACTGTCGTAATGGCAAAAATCCCAGAAAAAATGCATAAATATTTATCAAACTTGTCCCTATAACTCCGTACGTATGGCCACCTTATCCACAATGCCGTTCGGAGTCCTTTGATGCATGACTAATATGGGAATTAATCTGATGGGTGTATGTCATACACTCCACGCTAATGCTTCTGAAGGAGGCTTCCCTAGGATTTGCTACTCCCAATTTGTTGTGGGCTTGGAGGCAGGCAGTATGGTGAAAGGTTCAAGAAGACAATGCTTGTGTTGGTTATTAAATAGATTTAATTAATTAACTCAAGTATTTGAGCAATCAACATATTATATTTTAATCTTCTTATTCTATCGTGAGTTGTAACAAACCTATATTAATTAGTCAGACACATTTGGATGGATTTCTAACTAGAGATGAAACGGATAGTTGTTTGGCCGGATACCGGATACCGGATATCCGGCCAGCTGCTAGGCCGGATAGCCGGATATCCGGCGGCCGGATAGTTGGCCCATTGTCTCGTTGCATGTCGTGACGAGTTTAGCGCCGCACAGAGCTTTGAACGCGATCAGTGAGTCTATTATACAGGGTGGAATTTTGTAATGCCACCTGGAGGGAAAGTACTCTTAATACTGCAGATAGAAAATTTTACTGAAACAAAACATTCCTTTATTTTTGAAAAGAATGAGAACTGCATTCAAAGATTTTCGATTTTTTTTCGAAAATTCACTACCATACCATTCTTATTTTCTCTACATAATTAAAATAATTTAAGATTTCATGGTTTTCCTTTCATTCGATTTATCAAGTTTGTTAGGGAGATTTCATCCTTATAAACTTAACCCTAATGATCGATGCAATAAAAATACAGGATGTAATTTTTATCAGATTTTAGTCGGTTCGATATCCGGGTGTGGCAAGCAAATTTATG